TCTCGCACCCCTAGCGCATACGCCCTGCTGGGCCAGTACAAAAGGACCTTCTTTCATTCCATCACTGGACGCCTGTAAATATATATCTAAATCAAAGGAGTTAAGTTAAATTAGTTAAGGAACGTAAGCGAAGCGAGCGAGAGGTGAGATCTTTCCATTATATACATTTCACATCGACGGTATTTTCCCGCGTGGCAACACCACGTGGTGGACTCTTATTGTTATAATCAAATATCATCCAGGGTTTTTATGCTGGAAAGGTTTTTCCTTACGAGCCAATAAAAAAACCACTAATTACCAGAGGACTCTTAATTGAGGTATTTGGTCATAACAATTATTCTAAATCTTATGCAACAAAAATAAATATTTTAATAAAAGATGTAACTATATTAGTCTTCATCACTGTCTTCATTCACTACGACACTAATTTTTTCATCGATGAACAGGCGTCTCAGGATCTCAGCAGGTCTTACAATTTTCGCCAAATATCGAGCGTAAGATAAATAATATATGTGATAGCAGCAATGTGAGAGCAACATCCAACAGTGCGTCTACCATTCGCACAATCACAACAATATCGAGTTATTCCGGAAATATCGTTCTTATCTGGCTGATATTCAATAAAACAACGATATGTCATCGGATTAATATGTCGAGATCTGACACTTCAAACTTTATAATATTAGGTGTAATTTTTATGTAATGAAATGTGATTATTCCGTTTTTATCCATCATCTCAGCTAAATACGATACAGCTTACGACATTTGATATGATCCAGTGAAAAGAATTTTGATTTCTTGCTCTGATAATTCTGGAAAGTCAGTTAATTGCTCTAAAGTTATTTTTGCAAAGGGAACTTTTCTTCTGGCCAAACGATTAGTTTCTATCTTCAAGGCTAAAGTATTCTCTTGATCTTTTTTTGAATTAATGGCAGCAATTATTTTTTCTGTAAGATCAAGATCAGAATCAAGTCTTGTTCCAAATTCATTGTGCAAAAAACAAGCGATTCGACAAAAAACACTAGTTTTTTGAAGCAATTTGTTATCCARTTTATGATCTAATAGCTTAAACTTCTGTTTAATATTGCCATGTACTGCTTCAACAACCCAACGAATTTTGGTAACGAAACGGGATTTATTCGATTCATCTGTGGTCAACTGATTGCGCATTCCCTTGAGAGCAGGCATTAGCACTTTGAACTCTAATTCTTTTAAGTATACAATCACGAAAGCCACGATCAACCACAATAATGTCATCTTTTTTCAGCAATTTAATTAGACCATTGGAGTCATTTAAGATCACTCTTATAATTTCAGCATCGTTCATATTAGCTGTATATGGCCCAAACATATCTATAACGAAACCATTCGTAGTGCATATCGTCAATGGTTTACACAAAGGAACCTTTTTTTGACCAGAATATGATTTCCTGTGGTATTCGTTATTTGCACTTTTTTCATGACGAATATATGTTCCATCACAAATGAATATCAACTGGTCATCTTCTACTTGATACAATTTTTTAGCAGCATTTGACGTATTAGTGAGTAAWGTCTCCCTACTGATAGCATCAATTCCMAAATGCTGAGGTAAAACATCTTTTTCAAACAAAGATATAACTTCATCACAGTAGTCAGATACAATTTGTTCCCGAACTAAACCAAAAACGGAAGATATTACTGCATTCGAATTTCCGGTTCGTAATTTGAATAAAAAAATATCAAGAGCTTGAACGATATTACGATTCACTGAGTTTCTCATCGATGTTAACATTGCATGAAGTCTTATCAATTATTCCCAGGTAAGACTAGTAAATGCCTCTAACGGTTTTTTTAAAAACGAGTGATCTCCAATTTTATCAATTATGGACGAGTCAGTACCAATAGCGAGCTGCCCCAGTAATTTTTCCAAATCACGAACTTCAAATACACTGGTGTTCGAATAAATTCGAAAATTGTTAATGTCTTTATCGTAGAACCGCTTTTTTATAAGATGGTCTTTACAACACCGATTTCCTTCGGGAATAAGGAGTTGTCTTTTGAAAAACACTTGTTTGTGTGCTTCAAATGGAACAGATTTGATATTTGATGATGATCCACAAATGCAACAGTATTTGTGAGTAGCAACAATTCGAGGAAAACCCCACTCCACAAATTCTAATTCTTCTTCCATTTTTACTTCAATAACATATGAAGGATCTTCAGTTGACGATACAGATGAAATGTAGTGAATGAGGATTGAGATGAAATTGGCTGACTTTCGATACTCACTTGATCTGCAGATGAATCCTCAGTGTTCTTAAGTATAGGTGGTCTTGTTAAAATAACTCGAAATTTACCACAAAAGGTATCATTAATAAAGACTCTTTTTCCAATTTTTTCTGTCGCAATATTAGCCTCATCAATTGTCATAATAACTTTTTTATATCCAACTGTTTTTCGCAAATATCTGTTACAATTATTGCATTTTTTATCAAAATCCGTTCTGAAATAAAGATTTGAATTATGTATTGTGGGGTTTTCAGACAGAGAGAGAGAAATATAAGACTGAAGATGACTGACTAAGGACTGACTAAGGACAGATACAGACGGACTAACTGAAGACTGAAGACTAAGGACACTTTCTTACTTCTTTCCACATATTTATATCAGAAATGAGCTACACTTCTTTGGAGAGGAAAGGAGATTATAAACCTTTTGACCAATATCATAAGGATCCACCCCATAGTCCACCGATGGGTACAGCCTATAGTTTTTGGTAGTGGAAACTATGCATAAAGAAACTTGATCTGGAACATCGAAAAGTTATCTCTTTTATGGTACATCGCATATGTTTAGATAGGAATCCGAAATTCTTCAAAGGGTCCCGACACTGCACAAAGGGTTTTTATTGCACCAATATATCCCGATAATTCTTATGTCTCTTTATGGTTTTATTGCCCTTCTAAACTTTCCCTTMAGTTTMTGAATAGAATTTTYCTTTCCAGAAAATAAAATATAACGAAAATAGCTGAATATTAGATTTTTTCCCTACAGTATAGAGAATTGAGAAATATACAGATAGATTCAATGAAAAATTTTACTTATTCAAGTGGTTGTAATGCTACAACTGTAAGCAAACAACAAAGCAAAATAAAGAAAACTTTAAAGCGAAACTTTAGAAGAAATGATTGCTGGTTAGTGAAAATCCCGGTATATAGCGTTGAAATGCGTCAGCTCGGCGTGAATTAAACAAAAAATAGTTTTTACGTAATCATTGTGAAACCAAATGATTGAAAATGTTTGATAAGTAATGTTATTGTGTATTTTAGGTAAAAAAATATTTTTTCACATTTTTTTAACTGAAAAAAAAAATATAAGTTAGTTAAAACTTGAGATTTTAGAAAAAAAAATGTTTTTAATTTTTTTCATATTGTTGCACCACTTCAACAAATTCAAGAAAATTCCTGAGTGTAGAGGAGTATAACAAACATTTTCTGAAACATTTTGGTGAGTGACATATTTCAAAAAGGCTAAAAAAAAAAAAAATTTAATTTTCTTTCGTCTGCCAAAAATCGGCTTTTCGTTAAAATATTTTGATCATATTTTTTTTTTCATGTCTTAGACTCCTAAGAACTAGAAAAAAATCATCATTGATTAGTTTTAAATTTTACTATAAAAAAAAATAAAATAAAAAAAAAAAGTTTTTTTGAAAATCTCAAGAACCGTCTGAGTTAAAGAGCTAAAATTTGGGGTGAATTATTTTTATTTGACATCAAATCGATCCCCCAAGTGTGAGTCAAAAAAGCCACAAGGGCAGATTTTCCATACTTATTCGGCTATACCCTTTAAATAAAACGAATATATGATTCTATTTTTTTTTTTTTTTTTTACTATAGTATATTCTGCCAATGTCCCAAAAAAAGGACTAGCTTTAATTTTTAATTTTTTTCTCCCCTCGGCCAACAATTACATGTACTTTAAGANTTTTTGAAAATCTCAAGAACCGTCTGAGTTAAAGAGCTAAAATTTGGGGTGAATTATTTTTATTTGACATCAAATCGATCCCCCAAGTGTGAGTCCAATAGACACACAGTAAAGATTTTTTTTTGTATTACTTTCCAGAAAACTGTATAAAACAAATATATATTTTTTTTTTTTTTTTTTTAGTATACTATAGTATATTCTGCCAATGTCCCAAAAAAAGGACTAGCTTTAATTTTTAATTTTTTTCTCCCCTCGGCCAACAATTACATGTACTTTAAGACATTTCTTACTTTACCTAACTAGGTGAGAAATATACTATTATTTAATCAGTATGAATATCATTACACAGTTAATTTATATATTTTTTTGCATTCTCTTATTGTGGCTTGTAATGGTCTAAAACTAAATTTTTCAAAAATTAAAATAAAATAGTAAGAATTTTTTATATTTTCGTAAAGCATGAGGTACGATCTCATTATTTTAAAGAATATATTTTATTCTGATGCTTCAGGTATTAAAAAAGAAAAATTTGAAAATGGGCTCCTAAAAAAAGCGGATAATGGATGAACTTTTAATTATCTCCTAATGAAAGGTCCTTATATAATACAAATAGGTTAAGCATTATTCCAATTTACTTTTTAGTTCTCTTTAATTTTGTTAACTATATGAGCTTTGTCAGAGTATAAGGTAACTCTTTTTGTATTTTATTTTAACCCTTTGCGCGCGCTCAAGCGGTGCCTTTCAGGCACAACTGCATCTGATGCGACAATTCGAGCGGTGCCTCTCAAGCACCACTCAAATCGATGCGGTAAATTGAGCAATAGCAATGTTCATTTAGGTTTTGTAGGTCATCTTATACAGTTTCGAACGACACGATAAATTTTGTTGACCGACACAATGTATACAATGGCTACAAAGATATCTTATCGCAAAATACTCGCGACCGCGGTTTGGACTCTGCCTTCGGCGTTAATTCAAACTCAACTTTCATGGCCATCACAATATTTCTCTCAAAGGTACTGAGCCCAATAAACATGGAACACGACGAAGATATTACTTCTAGTGAAGATGAGTTCAATTTTTCGGCAATAACGAACGAGATTGCACCTCTACATAGACAGCTTGTCCATGGGAACGAATACAGAAGTGATCAAGTTAGCGACGACGTTAGAGGTTTAAGAAGACGAAAAATCCGAATAATCGATTGTGAATCTGAAAGCCATAGTGATTGTACAGAAGAGACTGAGCCTTCAGAGTGGACAATATGCATAGAATTCGAAGAAATCCCCACAAGAATACCGTTTGTACCCGGTGAAAGACAAATAGGACTGCAGGTACCTGCAGCTTCTACTTCGCAGGGCAGTTCTGAAGGCATCCGACTAAGTGGGAAGCTGTATGTTATTTTGATGGGACAAAAAAAGGATTGCCAGATTTGTTCCCAATGCGGACAAAAGCGGCAAACTGTGTACTACTGTGACACTTGCCCCGACATGCCAAAAATGCACATTGGAGATTGTTTTATAAAATACCATATAAAACAAAATTATAGAACGTAATGTTTCACAAACATCCTTCATTGAATTACGAAAATATGTATATTGTTAAAATTAACAAGTTTAAAGTGTTTTCTATATTGTGTCTAAAATTATTTTAAGTTAACTATAAAGAACTCATGAAATAAGCGGGAGCGGCTGATTGCTTTTAAATCTCTGGTTCGCCCGAGCAAAAAGGGCCTCGAGCGCATAGGGTTAATAACTATTATTTTTTTTACTGTTATTATTACCTATATTTCTTTTTATTTCTGCAATAAGCTATTTTAACACAATTATTAAATATTTAATATTGATCTTTAATTTTTTTATATATTTATATTATAATTTAATAGTATTTTATATTTTTATGATACTATTATTATTATTAGATAACATTTTTAAAAATATTGTATTAATTTTAATTTTAAAAAGTTTAATGCACTAAACACAAATTTTTCTAATATTTCGACTATTACAGTTGTTCTTAGACTAAAGCAGAATTGCATAAAATTGTAAGATCTGGATGATCTAAAAAAAATTATTAGTTTTCAAAAGTTCAATAAAATTATAGAGACACAATTAAAAAAAAGAAGAAGATTGAGACATATATTGACCTTCGTAATTTTTATAAACGTATAATCTCTAGTTATGACCAACAGATCATTTTTAATACGATTGCTAAACTTACACCGACAATGAAAATGAAAACAAGGGGTGCGGTGAAAGTGAAGGGAGGAAAAAATTATTGAAATAGACGATTTATTTCAATGATACATGTATTGATATTGTGACTATGAATTTTCCTTACTTTTCGTCTTTTTTTATTAGAAGGTATAAGGTAGAAGGTCTATAATTACAGTACAGACGCACGAATTTCTTTTTATACTTTTATAGATGTGTATAGTCCACCCTCCGAAATTCGATCGTCAAAGATTACTACTGCGATTGTTTCGACGCGATTTTACTGCAGTTTTTGGTGAACCATCAAAGAAATCAGAGCTTTCGTACAAGTAGTAAAAACGTACACGATATTCTATATGTCATGAAAGTAAGCATTAATAATACTTTTAAATTATAAATTTTTTACGAACCAAGTCCTTGCAATGATATTCATGAGTATATATATATATAATAAATTAGTAATTAGTATTTAATATTTATTAAAATATATATATATGAGAAGTTTATTTTGAAAGTGGCCTAACATCATTTATGTTCTAATCGAGATATTGAAGGGTTTGCTTTTCAATACAATGAAAAATATACATACAAGATACTAAAGAGTTATATTGTTTAAGTGTATCTAATGGTGTTAAATTTATAGTTCTTAATAAGATAGTGGCCATAATTAAGTGAATAATTAACAAAATTTAAGATGCTTCCAATGAAAAAAAAAACTACTTAATTTTTTTACGTATCTTTAAAAAACTTTAGAAATATAATTTATGAGATTCGAAACATTTTTTAACTGCATAACGTACCAAATTAGAAACATAACCAACAAAACAATTAACTGCTTATCTATATATTGAGTGTGTGAAAGGGATTTGAAGAAATCACGATGTTCCGATGGTATATATCATAATAGGTCAAATATGTCCTTGAGTTTTGCTGGTGTAATTTGTCTGATATTTTTATATAGTCATGTCAATACAATATTTTAGAACTTTCTTGATATACCCCGACCTGGTATTAAATTCAGGACTTTAAAATTTTCATTCTCATTTATTGATATTTTACCGAAAATTTTATACGGTTCATTTCTGATAAAAAGCACACAACATATTTCTAATCAGTTTATTGATTCTTCATTAAAATTCTATACCCTTCTAAAAATTGCTTCTTCTAATAATTTTGTTCATACAAAATCTTCTTATCTCCTTTTATTTACAATAAAGTATTATCATATTTACTCGGAACATAAGCAACCTTAAATGCTTTATTTATACATAACATGAAGTTGTACAACAACTAAGTGCAACTGGAAAATAATACTTGACAAATGGAGTTAGGCTACTTTCAAAATAAACAGCGTAATTATATGAGCTTTTTCTTATAACAATAAGTTTATACTTTTGATTTGATTTTTATTTCAAACGCAAAAAATACGATTTTTTTAAATTCTTTATTTTTTCTGAAGTGTTAATAAAGTATTTTTAAACAATGCCTCAGATTACATTATGGACTTTTTTCGATTTGTAGTTACTGACAACTACAATCTTTCTAAATAATTAAAAGTCATAAAAAACGTTAAAAAACTTCTGAAATATAAATAAATATTATTTTCTTTTTAATATAGTAATTTATAGCCAACTTATCTCATATATACATATATCTAATATATTTAACTTTCAGTACTATTTTTCAAGGAAGAATAAAATTTACTATAATTATCATTTAGCTTTCAATAAGAACTGTTTAAATTGTTTAAATAAGAATTGGAATAAAGTGCGCAGTAAAGTGATCCGATCGGAATAAAATCATTTTTTTTTTCTATAAAAGATTATTATCACAAAACTTAATAAGGTAATTAACGAATTTCAATTTCTATTATGTGCCCATAATTATGAAAGTGGTCCAAGTCATATATCACTTGTTTCGAGATATTTGAGCCCATAATTATGAAAGTGGTCTAAGTCATGTACCTTTTGTTTCGAGATATTTCAAGATTTTTATTTGAACACTATATGAATTCTGTACAATATTGAAATAACAAACATTATCTAACGATTCATTTTTGACAATATTGTAAAAATTACATGCAATTTATTTAGCCTAAAACAATGTGGTGTGTAATAACTGATAAATTAATTTTTTTTTAATTTTGACTTAGACCACTTTCATAATTATGGGCACATATAATAAACATAAAAGCAGTCATTTAAAATTTTTTTTTTTAATATTAGGTTGTTGTATATAAAATGTCGGATTTTTACCTTGCTAATTTCAAAAAGATGTAATATCATTGTATGGTAAACTTCCATCCTGGTAGCAAATTCTCTCGTGGATACAGTTTGATTCGCTTCTACCAATGTCTTCAGATCATCATTTTTCATGGTCGTTTTGGGTCTTCCTCGCGGTTCGTTTTGTAGTGAAAAATCACCAGGCCGAAATTTTTCAAACCAACGCTGCATTTTTCGTTCGTTAATAGTATTCTCCCCAAACGCCTTGTTTATGTTGCGTGCAGCTTTTGCCGCATTATTACAAAGTTTATACTCATACAAAAAAATTATCGGAATATCGGTTCAATTCATATCGGTACAAAATTCAAAACAATAACAAAAGGGAACACTTTTAAGAAAATCTCCTTTGTTGAAATGTGACTCTGGCGATGAACAGTACGACTATAAACGAAGTTATGCCAAAAACCAAAGCATAACGAAAACAGGAAAAGAGACGTTTGCACGTAAAAAAAATCCGACATTTCATATGCACCAACTTAATATTATATTTATTTCTGACTCTACTACTTTGTTCAGTAATAAATACGTTTTGATAGGCAAGTTCCCTCTCTTCTACTTTTAGGCATACGTCAAACACGCATTTTCTTACTCTGTTGTTTACACTACACAATCCTAATTCTCTAGAACCTACATGAACTTATCCTAAAATATACACACTGTATCGCAGCAGGCGCACTTTCTTTTTTACAGTCATTGATATCCTTAATAAAAATTCTTCATGAAATATTTTCTTCCCGTATCATTCGTTCCTTTGTCGGCTCGTTTCATTTCATAAACAACACACACACACACACACACATTTTTTTTCATTTTTCTTATTATGAAATTATTATTATTAATTGGCATTGAGAACTCGAAAGTTTATTGCCGTAAATACCAAATCTTGTCAGTGTTCCCGTCCCCGAGATTGACCACTCCATTTGCAGTCTTCTTTGCCTAATTCTTTCAGATCTCTTCTAATATTATCCTCCCATTTATGTTTTGGTTTACTTAGTGGTCTTTTCCCGTTTGGTATATCGACCAATATCTTATGCGCTGTTCGATCCTCTATCATGCGCGCTACGTGACCGCCCATCATAATCGGTGTGATTCTACGACATATTAACGTCGTAATCATTAGATGTCTGGTTTATAGTTGTCAAATAGCTCTCTTTTTTATATAAATTGTTTGAAGATTACATAGATTTCGAATCAGAGACATAACCTTTGATAATATGAAAACATTATTATAAATTATGAAATTTATTACAAAAAGATTATTATACACAGTAAAGACTTATTTAAATCTACTCATATGAAATTATTATAATAAGAGGAGTGCTATTTACACAACTTAGACGCGTTGATTACTGTTAAATTAAATATGATTATACCCAAGTGTCCAATGCTAATTAACGGAATCTAATCTTAGGATCCTCTTTCATCTTTCTGACAATTCATTCAATCACCCCTCACGTTGTATTACCTTTTTGATTCTTTTCTACGATTATTTATATGATCTATTTCTTCTTATTATTTCATTAAACATTTAGTTGTACTTCTTCTTTGTTTTACATCTTTTCAAAGGTAATAAACTTTCTTTCGTTTTTAAAATCATAAGTACTTTATTCATGATTTGTTATAGTTGCTTATTCTATGTAAAGAATCTTGTTTTTTATTGTAATTTCGCAAAGAAATTAATGAAATAGAAAACAATAAGATAGTAGTTGTGCCCCGCTACGTGTTGCTGTGGCTCAGTCTGGTTAAACACTTGCCCTACAGAGACGTGCCACGCACGTCGATGTTATTTTGTTTCCAAACTGCGAGCGACGTGTTCATCACGTTGATAGGCGTGGTGAGCACATGGTAAATGTCCTACCTTGCCACCTCAACCCTTTAGAACACGACTAATAATAATTAAACTCAATTTCAACATAATTTAATAGAAAATTAAATATAAGAAATATTCAATTAAATGGAAATAAAAATTGAACATAGATAAAAAATCGGATTGAGCCAAAATATGAAATTGTTGTATAGATTAAAGATTAGGTTATGTTCAAATGTTCCACACACTCACCGACATCTATGGCTAACAAATGGCGTTGGACTTACCTGTATCTTTTTTTAAAATTAATCTAATAAAAACACACCTGTATTCGAATGCAACGTTGTGTCAAAATTTTAAAACAATCAATAAAGTACTTTGGGAGATTACTGATTAGGAACAAACAAAATCTAC